AGGCAAAATCGTTTCTAATGTAGCAGCCCAGGCTGAAGTTAGACCTAAAGGAAGAAGTGCTGCTCTAAGGACATCTAAAGGCGAGGCAGTGTATTTGGGGACACTTCCTAAAGCAGCTTCGTGCAAGAGCTTGGATACCCCCCTGTGTGGGCCGGGGCTGGGGTGGACCTGCCTGGAGACAGGGTAACAGGTCAGAGGAACTTGGAGGCGTGCACAATTAAGTCATCTCGGAGGGCTTCCCATGGACTCTGCACTGCTCATCATGGCCACCCTCCAGCTCTGCAGTGACCGTCCAGCCCTCTACGCCCCCTCTCCTCACCTTACCTGTCATGGCTGGGACATCCAACAGAGAGGGCCCTTTCTATGGCCCAGCAAGGGCATCAAATTGCCTGTCCCAGATGCAAGTGTTGACACAGCTGCTTGCAGGTGGGCTGGGGGAGAGGTGCAGGTTCAGGGGTCAGAGAGCAGGGAGACCTCCTCAGAGGACCAGCCAAGCCCTTGTTCCCGCAGTGGCTGAGCCCTGCTCTGAGGAGTGACTGTGAGCAGCCTCTGGAAACCCAGGGAACTTTCCCCACCCACTCCCTTGAGTTTCCCCCCACTGCTTGTCACTAGCCTCAGCAACCTAGCTGCCACCTGTGAGAGGCTCACGGGACCTATTTACCCCCATCACCTAGCAACAGCAGCACCACTGGCTCTAGGCTTTCCCTATGAGACCATAGGAAGCCAGGGCCTTGGCCCCCAAGGGAGACTGAAGCTGCTACAGATGGGAGCAGGGCCAGAAAGCCCCCTTTATGTGCCCCTACTTTTCGTCCTCACTCTGCACCCCGTTCATTCCGGCTCTGCCTCTACTGGCTTCTTTCTGGGGCAAAGCAATGCAGAGTCAGCAGCGTAGAGAGCAGGACAGGAAGGAGGCCTGGGGGCAGGCTGCTGGCCAGGAAAACAGACAGAGGAGCTGACCTGCTGCCTCTTCCTCCTTATTAGCCCAGTGAGAACGCGTCCATTTCATTTTTATCCCACCTCTGAAAGAGAATTCCAATTACCCAAAGAGACCTTGAGGTTCAGAGACGTTGAGGGGCTGCCCAAGGCCACACAGCAGGTCAGAAGACAAGGCAAGATGAGAACTCATACTCCCCAGGCTGGTTGCTTGTGACTTCTGTGTAGCACACTTCATCTTCATTCCGTTTTAAAACCAAAGCTGCCTTGTGTGTGGGTTCCTCATCTCTGAACTGGAAGGAAGATAGGACTCTAACTGTCCCTCTGTCATTTGGAGCTGAGCTAAGCCCAACCAGGAGTTTCTCCAAGGTCTAAAACAGTGGTGGGGATGGGGGCTTGGGGGGAGGGGGTTAAGGAAGGAGAAGCAGGTGAGAAAGAAGGACTGCTACTGTCAATAAAACCCCTCCTTGGTCCCACGCCCTGCAGTACGCCCTTTTCTCAATACACTCTTGGGAGAGGTCTCTCACCCCCATTCATGGAAGAACTGAGCAGAGGTTACTCTGCCTTCATACAGAGCAAGGACTGGGGAGAAGCTGGGGGCAATCTCTGCATGGTGATTGCTTGCTAATTGTACACAAGACTGCTTTCCAGGAGAGTAGAAATTCAAAAGGAACCAACACCAGCTAATGGTGCTTACCCAAATGGGTTCCTAAAACTCCAGGGAAATGATAACAGTAGTCCACTGCATCCAGAAACCTGGCCCCAAGCGCTGGATCTGTTACTTACTCTGAAGCCATAGCAGCCACCTAATGGTGGAAACCATACAAGCCATGGTTTCCTCTGTGAAAGAGGGATAATTTCTCAGGGTTGTTCCAAGGATTAAGTAGGATAGCGTTTATAAAAGGATATTTGGAAGCTATTTAATGATACTGAAAATGCAATAGTCAACAGTTCTGTCTCCACATTTGGGTCTTACCTTGGTGTCCTTCAGCTGCCAGTAACCAACTGAGAAGCAAGAAAATCATCTCTGAGCAATCAGGCAATAGCTGGGTTCTCCAGCTATCAAATAAACACCTCCACCTCCCCACCTCATCCCCTACTTCCTCTGCCCTTGGCCCTCCTGGGCCCTGGGTCCTGAGCATTCCAGCTCTTCCACTGTGCTCCAGATGGTTGCAGCTTCATTCCCAGATGAGCCCCAGGGCAGACACCAGCTGGGCTGGACTCATGAGTCAAGGCTCTGTGGCAGACTGGCCCAGGCCATGACCCGGACAAAAAGGCTTGAGCTACACTGGGCTGGGCCTGGGCTGCAGCAATTGTGGCCAGGGATTGAGTTCAAGTTGGGGATAAACAGAGACATCTCCAGCAAAGCAGAAGGAAGCACAGGTAGTCGATGATAACCTTTCAACTTCCCCCTTCTATTCACTTTAGGGCAAGACACTTCTTGTGTCTTGTTTTACTAGTTCAATTAATATGTTTGTTTTATTAATTCAACAAATATTAACTACAGTATTCTCTGAAAGGCCAGGAACTGTGCTAGAAAAGCATCACCACAAATCTCCTGTTCATCATTCCCTTTCTTCTTTATGAAAAAGAGTCTGTGCTAGATGTAACTTTTGGGGACTTACTTTTTCCCTTAATATTAAATTGCCGATGCCATTCCTATTATTTTGTGTCCCTGTAGCTCATTCGTTTTGACTACAATATAACATTTCATTGTGTGACTATACCACAGCCAGCTTCTTAAAAGCTGGCCTGAGACTGGGTCCTAAAACTCAGACAAGTTCATCACCTCCTTCATTTAACGACTCTTTATTCAACGTCACCAGGCATTATAGAAGACATCGGGGCGTGGCAATCAACAAGATGGTCATAGTCCCTGTAATTGTAGCTTACAGCCTGATTTGGCATACTTTTGCTGTCTCTCTTTTGTTTGCAAAAAGTATGGAATCTTTTCCACAACCACTAGTCAGTGGATAGCAAGTGAAAACATACATACTATTAGCCACAGTTGGGTGCCGGGGTCACTTCAGTTCAGGGGTGAGAAACCCAAGGCTCCAGAGAATACAGACGCTCAGCCTCCCTTTTTCCCCCTCTGTGCCTCAGCGTCTAGCACTATCCCGGGTCCATCCTATTGACTGTATAAGGCAGTATCTGTTGGTTTAGTAATAAACAAGAGAAACTTGCCTTACCTACCTCAACAAAGGCATGCATGCACAATCCACTCTGTGGGAAAGAGTGAATTGACAGGGAGGGGCCCATAGTGTCCCTCCAGCCAGCCCCACCTCTAGCCTTCCACAGTTCAACAAACACCTTCTCATCTGCTTAACTGAAACCCAAGTGCATCTAATTCATTGGCGAGCCCTGTTGCCTGTATCTTGCAAGCTCATATGGCGTGTCTATACCACCAGCCTCCTGTCTGTTCATGTTCTCACCTTGTTCCAGCCAAGCCAATTTCTACTCAGTTCCTCCAACCCCAAACTGGGCTCCTTCTTGTCACTCAAGTCCTGGCTTGGATGTCACCTCCCCAGAGAAGCCTTCCCTAACTACCCAACACCGTTTCCTCAACCTCCCACTCTCAGTCTCCACCCAGGCACTGTCTCCTCTCACCCCACATTACTCTCCACAAAGCACTCACCACTCTCTTATCTTTCCTAGTTTATCTGTTTCTGGCCCATCTTCCCCATCTCCAGACCCTCCCCTCTCCCTTCAAAAAGCAAGGTTCTCAAGAGCAGGCCCCCTGCTGTCTTGTTTGGGCACTGCTCCCATTCGAAGGGATTATTAACACATTTAACCACCATGTGAGTTGTATTTAACCTTGGCTAGTTTCAAGCCCGGGGCCTCGTGAAGCATATATAACTCACTGGTCTCTCGCACGTTGACTGCCACACCAGAGAAATTTTTTGTCCTTAGGGCCACAGTACTTTATTAGGTCATGTTAGTCATGTTAGTTACATATGCTTCATGAGGCCCCAGGCTCAAAACTAGTGCGAGTTAAATATAACTCACACGGCAGTTAATGTGTTTGACCTAATAAAACACCAGTTCTGCTGTGTCCTTTCCAATAACTGCCCTGCCTCCCCAGTGGTAACCACTGTTCTGATCCCTAGCACTATAAATTAACCTTACCTTTCAAACTCTATAAATGGAATCATTTATAGAGTATACATTTGCTGTCTGGTTTCTTTCCTTCATTGAATCTGTGAAATTCATCCAGGTCATTGCATTGAGTGCTAGTTTACTCCTGTCTATTGCTGAAATATGTTCCATTACTTGAATATACCACAATTTATTTATCTAGTCCACCAGGGATTGTCATTTGGGTTTTTCCAATGCTTAGCTATTAGGAATGAAGTGACTATGAACATTTGTAGACAGCTGTTTTGCTAGGCAAATGCACACATTTCTCTTGGCTTTATCCTGGAGCAGAATTGCTAGATCATAAAATCATAGAATAGCTGTATGTTCAGCATTGGTAGATTTAGCCAAATCATTTTCAAAAGTATTTGTACCAACTTACAGTCCTACCAACAATGTGTGAGAATTCTAGTTGCTCCACCTTCTTATCAACACTTAATATTCTCAGTTATGTTAGTTTTAGCTATTCTGGTGTTTATGAAGAGATATTTCATTCTGTTCAAATTTGCATTTTGCCTGGTAAGAAATACGAAGTATCTTTAAGGTACTCATTGGCCACTTGGGTCTTCATTTTTGTGAAGTATCCACATTTTTAGAAATACAATGTCCGTAAAAATAAATACATTTTTAACAAAAACAGACAGTAGAGCAGAATTATCTTGAGGATTTCAGCAATACACATACCAACCCAGCAACCAGTTGTTTCTACAACTGCTAACTAATTGTTACAATTAATAAACTCGTTGAACCAGGTCAAACAGGTACAAAACTGAATTTCTCATTTTGAACCAATTATTTGGATATCACAGAGACTCCCACCTTAGATTTAGCAGGGAGAAGGGAATATAGGCAAGAATGAAGAACCTTCCCTAGGCTGCTAGCCCCCAGCCAAGAGAGTCACTTGCTCAGCTCACTTTCTCCTTCAATTACAGGCGGATACTGAGAGCGAACTACCCCTAACCAGTGAGCCAGCAGATGAGACTGCCAGTGATGTAGCTGAGAGCACTGCCAGTGAACGCCCCCCAACCAAGGCCAGTGATCAAACCCTAAACAAGTCCACTGATCAAGCCCCGGAAGATGCCGGTAAGCACAGGTCCTGCTTTCTTGCTTCACCTCAGCCTCTGAGTTGCACTAACCACGCAGTAGATCCTAAGCCAGTCTTGGATGGCCCTCACCAGCACCACCACGTGCTAAGTATTATGGTTGCCACCCAGCTCCTCATCTCTCCCTCATTCAGTCATTCAACAAACACATTAGGGAACTATAAGTTTCAGCATTCATTCTACCAGCAGGAGGTCTGATCTCTAGGGAAACAGAACCAACAATCTTTTTTTTTTCCTTTTTTTTTTTTTTCTTAAGACAGAGTCTCACCTTATCACTCTCAGTAGAGTGCCAGGGCGTCACAGCTCACAGCAACCCAACCCCTGGGCTTAGGCAATTCTTTTGCCTCAGCCTCTGGAGTAGCTGGGACTACAGGCGCCTACCACAATGCCTGGCTATTTTTCCGCTGCAGTTTGGCCAGGGCTGGGTTCAAACCCGCCACCCTCTATATATGGGGCCAGCACCCTACCCACTGAGCCACAGGCACCGCCCCAAACCAACAATCTTAAAACACCAAGAGCAATAATTTCCCAATTCATTCATTCAGTTACTCATTCTCTTGTTCGTTCAATAAACCCCCAAGTGCCTGCCATGTGCCAGGCCCTGGGTGCATCTGAGCCCTTGCAATAAATAAGATAGCTAAAGCCCCTGCCCTCAAGGAGCTTATGGTCTGACCACGCTGCCAGGGAACAAACAGGACAAAGGCATTTTCACTGGTAGAAAAGAAAATAGCAGTGTTTACTCCATATATAAGAGAAAACGAAATTAATAAATAGAGTAATCCCAAATGTCAGGGTTTTCTTCTGTTACATTTTCTGAAACCATTGCTATCCACTCCTGATAGACAATAAAACAAATAAGCAAGGAAAGAATTAGTATGAGCAGATCGATAAGAAAATAGCAGAACCTACTTACTTTAACAGCTTATTTATTTCTTGGTTCTGGGTCATTAGTTCATAGCGGTCATAAGGAAGTAATCTTGGGCTAGTAAAATAGTGCCTACTTTGCACTTTGGAATTTATATAGCAATAGGCCATGGTTTCCCAAGAGAACACCAGACTTCCAAGTTCTCTACCCAGCTGAGTGAGTCTGAAAACTACCAAACCAGAAAATAAGCCGAATTTGCTACCAGTGCCTGGCGTAAAGGGAGCTGGGGAAAGATCAGTGCATCTCATGTGGTCAGGGTTAGGACCATGGGTCAGGGCTAGTGCCCAGGGTCAGGCCCTGTAGGATGAATAAGCTGTCACAAAACAGGAGGCAGCAATGAGAGTGTCAGTGGTAGAGAGAAAAACCCAAGCTCTGCAGACTCAGAAGTATGAACGAATAGGGGTGGCTGGAGGACCAGGGGGTGAACCTACCTAGGCGGGGCTGGCGGTTGGGGAGGCCAGCGGCGGGAGTCTATTTGGCTAAGAGAGTGTGGCCAAATTACGCTGGACAGCACTAGAGGACAGTGTTATCCACATGTAGGGGTTATGGGGAAGCTCTAGAGCAAGAAAGAAACAGAAAGAAGGGAAACTTTAGGAAGCTCTGTCTAGCAGCAGTGGTCAGGGCAGGCTGGAGGAAGGAACATACAGGCAGGGAGGCTGTTCCTTAACTTTAAGTATGAATTGCCTTCCCCTACTGATGGGGGAAGCAGGTCTTCCCTGAGAACATCTAGGGGGCAGAGCCATTGGGCCCTAGACATGGGGACTCAGGGCTCCCTAGAGGTCATTCCCTCGCTAAGGAAACAAATCCATCTCATGTCCTCAGAGGGAGGTGCTCAATAAATAAATCATGCATGCATGAATGAATCAAATATCCCCATGGCCATGGACCCAGGAAAGAGGACAATTCTGAGCCCTAGCTGCTGGAGCTTTAAAAACAATAGCCGCTAACATTATTGATAACCCAATAGTTCACAGGCAACAATACTTCCTGCCCACATCCCCATTTCCTGGCCTCTGCATCTGAGCTTAAAACTCTGTTAGGGTGGGCGGCGCCTGGGGCTCAAAGGAGTAGGGCACTGGCCCCATATACCGGAGGTGGTGGGTTCAAACCCAGCCCCGGCCAAAAACTGCAAAAAAAAAAAAACCTCTGTTAGGGAAACACTGTTTCCTAAGCTTCCCACTACCAACAGATTCATTACTATCAGCATTTATTGAGCGCCAGTCTATGGCAGGACTCCACTCCTTGATTTTGTGGGGCTGAGGAAAAGACTAGAGACAGACACGTGACTCATGATCATTCAAGGCACCATAACGAGAGACCCATAAGACAGAAGGGACGTGCTTAAGAGGACAGAGCCAAGAGCAATTCATTTGTTCATTGAACAAATATTTGCTGAATGTCTGCTGTGGGCCAAGCACTGTCATAAGTCCTGGGGACTCAGCCATGAACAAACAGACAAAAAGTCCTAGTTTCATGGAGTTTTCTGGGAAGAGACAGAAAAGATGTGAAATATATAAAATATCGAGTATGTTAGAGGTCACGAGTGCTTTGAAAAGAAATCAAAGAAGGAGGCTGGGCAGTGTTGGCAGAGTGCCTTTTATCTGGGGAGAGCAAGGAAGGGCTCAGGAAGGAGGTGACAGTGAAGAAAGAGCCGCAGGAGGTGGGGCATGTGCAGGGGAGGGACAGGATAGCAGCCTGTTGCTTCCCAGGGTTTTCAAGTGTCACCGTAATCCCTGCCCAGCTCTTCATGGGGAGAAGTGTCCATGGCACCAGCTCAGCTTATTGTCTGCAAGGAGTGAGGACTTTAGAGAACCTACTCCTGATAACTCATTGAGAATAACTTGTCAAAGCCTCTCCCAGGTCCCATCTCCTTGGACAACCATGTGCAAGGGACACCTCTGTTTCAGGCAGTGATAGATGCCTACCTGGTCTCCTTAACCCCAGACTCTGTTCTAATCCACCCCCTCTCTGATCAAAGAGTCATCTTTCTAAAATTAATTTGATCTTGTCTCTCCACTGCTGGAAAACTTTTGATTGGCTCCTCTCTGCCTTCAGGATAAAATCTAAGCTCCCAGTGTGGTGTTCAAGCTTTTGCTCCCCTGGGGTTCAGGCTGCTCAGTCTGGCAGCTGCCCCCTCCCATGCCTTTCCTGAGCTGGAGCAGTGCCCCGCACCCCACCCCTACCTAAATTTAAGTGCTGCATCCTGGGCTTGGCACCTGTAGCTCAGTAGCTAGGGCACCAGCCACATACAACAGGAATGGCTTTGAACCCGGCCCGGACCTGCCAAACAACAATGACAAATCCAAAAATAAATAGCCAGGCGTTGTGGTGGGAGCCTGTAGCCCCAACTACTTGGGAGGCTGGGGCAAGAGAATCGCTGAGCCCAAGAATTTGAGGTTGCTGGGAGCTGTGACGCCATGGCACTCTACCAAGGGCAACATAGGAGACTCTGTCTCAAAAAAAAAAAAAAAAAAGGTGCTGCCTCCTGAGGAAATTCTCACCAGTTTACTCCTAACAGTGCCCTCATTATAGCATACACCAGCTTCCCTCTGCGGGCACTGGCTCCCGTGTCCTTGTCTACCTCCTCCCTCAGACTGTAACCTCCTTAAAGACAAGAACCACGCTGGGGACACGCTGTTCTTTGGGCTGGATGGAGTTGGGGCTTTAGGACGTATTCATTCACAAGGAGTTAAGTTTCTAGAAAGCACATCCTGCGCTGGAGGGCCCTGCCCTCCTGAAGCTGATAGTTTAATCAAGAGATAAGTCAAGGGGTCAGGGAAGGGCTAAATGATAGAGTGATGAAAGGGTACATGCCCCAGTATGTGCCTGAGGGGCTCAGGCCTCCTCCAGGGCGGGGCAGGACCGGATAGAGAGAAACATGCCAGCTCAGGCTCAGGCAGGACAGGGGGAAGTGGCCTGGGCTGGCCACTCTGTTGAAGGGTGCTCATGAGAGATAGGTGAGCCTAGGTAAGTGAGAGACAAGAATGCACCCCTCCCCCACTATTAACCAAAACTGTCCCCAAGGCATTGCTGCCATAGGCCAGAGGGTGGGAGGCTGCGGGCTGTGGGAGGCTGCGGGCTGCGGCAGGGGTTTCTCCAAGGTCTGACTGCCTGCCCTTCCCCTGCCTCTCATCTCCACGCAGATGATGCTTCCCTGAATAAACCTGGTAGCGCTCTCGAGACCTTCAAAAAGGTGGGGATCCCCATCATCGCAGCAGTGGTGGGCCTGGCAACCATCATCACTGTGGCTATCGTCAGTAAGTGACAGCTCCTATCCAACTTTAATCCCCTAAGTAGATGCCAGGCCCCCCACCCTCGCCCCCTGAGCAGCCCCCACCCTTACACTTATCCTCCCAGTGAGTGGCAAGCCCTGCCCACACCTTCCACCTTCCTACCCCGCAGTCATAGGCATGAAGCTTTGCAGAAAAAAACATATATCCGCACGTATCCACCCCCTGCTTTGAAGGGAGCTTTCTTCTAAGAGTGAAAGAGGAAGATGAACTCAGCCCCCATCTATCCCAGGTGGCTTCTGTCCCAGATGAGCACAGTGGCATATGTTACGAACCCACGCAGGCAATGTGCAGGGCGACCACGCCCCCTGCCTCCTCCTTCCCTCTTCTGCAGATTGACAGCTAAATGGATCTGAGCAGCCCCACTAGCTGAAGGAACAGGGGGCATTTCTGCTCTGAGCAGGGAGAAAGAGGAGTCATCAGGGAAGACCACCCAGGCAGACTCACCCTTCCCCCCCTTCAGCCCAGTCTTCATCATGGCCAGTGCCTGAGACCTGTGTGATTGTGAGCAGGCCCTCTGCCTAAGGGCCTTATCCGTGGTAAAGAAGATTAGACTGAATGAGCAGTGATATGAGTCCCTAGAGCTCCTGCATGCTGTGATAGAGTCATTGCCTTTATTAACCCACAGTCACAGTGGGATACTGACCACAGCCTTCACGGCAGGGAGTAGGGCACAGACTAGGAATCCAGACACCTGGGATGGGGATCCTGACTCTGCTGCTTGCTGCTGGGTAACCTTGAATAAGTCTTTGCATCTCTCTTAACCTCAGTGTCCTCACCTGTAAAATATCCTGCCTCCCTCAGAGCAGTGTCATGAGCATTAATGAGAAAAGGGATGTAAAGAATCTGGGCAAAAACTAAGTTTTGCAAAAGAGTGTGTCATGAGGCTCCACGTAGAGATGTGACCTAGGACGTGCGTTTACTAACTGGGGCAGGGCTGTCGGGAGCTTGCACTTGTAACTGTGGTGGTATTTCCACCAGCAGTAGCCACTACCTTGTTGAAGGACACTCAGAGATCATCTGATCCATTCTACACAAGCACTGAGGCTCAGGGAGGAGGTGTGGCAGTCAGGGACAGAGCTGGGACAGGACCCCCATGCCCCGCAGGTAACCCCAATGCATTGCTTCTTGACCTTGGCTTGCCCAACATGACGGTGATTTTGTACCAACAGCAGCAGACTAGCCATACTGTTTTATTCAGGCTAATATTAAAGTGAGCTTGCTTTCTTTGAGTATATGCCCTGCCACAATGGGGAGAGATGGGGTCAAGTTCATCAGGGAAAGCCAGGCAGACACCAAAGCATAATTTAGAGCTGGGCACTCCCTGTCCCAGGAAGCCCTGCACCAGATTCTTGAGTCAGAGGTGGTAACCCAATCCTCCATCCTGGACTAGGCTCTCTTAACTTTTTGGCTTTGGGGATCTCAACTGGTGACATTGTGTCCTAGCTTTGGCCTAGGAGGATGGGGTGACTCTGCCTTACCCTACCACCTGATCACGAACCAAAATCAAACATCGAGGTAATATCTGATCTTCTTCTTCCTTGCTTCACTCAAACCAGGAACGTGGGGACCAGCAGGTGATATCTTGAGCTCCTTATCTTTAGACAGATCCCGGCTGTCCCATATAAGCATCATACAGCCTTGAGAAATAAACCCTGACTCTATTTCTCAGTTTTGCCATTTGTAAAATGAGTTAACAATGACATCTGTCTCCTAAAGCTATTATCAGGATTACATGAAGAAATGTGTGGAAATGTCTTGACACAGTGACAAGGGCCACCACTCTTAGGACCAACCAGGAGTGATGCTGGACTAGCAAAAGGAACATCTGGCCCAGAGAGTTCAGTTAGGAGGGAGCAGTTCCTTCCTGCCAGGGGTGTTCGGCTGTGAGTTTTCACTGAGGAGAAGTTTTAAAATATTTCTTCTTGGAGGGGTTAAAAATACTGACTGCATTCTATCACCCCGGGATGCCAAAGAAGCTACAGAATTTGAAGGCAGCTGGCAGAATCTAAAGATAGAGGACAAAAAAACAAAACAAAACGAAACACCAGCTCTTAATGGGTCTAGAGTTGGGTGCAGATAAAAGCACTCAACTCTAGCACAGCACTTGATACCTATAAGACGCTTTCACAACTCACTACATGTTCTCAACAACCCTGCCAGGTAGGTGTTACCATCCCATTGTACAGATGAGGAAACTGAGGACTGGTAAGGAGAACTGATTGGTTTAAAGTTGCACAGTTGGTAGCACAGCCAGGACTCAGAACTGGGTCTTTGGATTCCAAGTCCCCTATTCTGTCTCTGCTCCTATTACCAGAGAGCACTGGCCAGCACCTGGGATATAAGGCCAGTAGGGTCTGTTTATAAATTTCTCCCACATACATTATCTCCCTTGATTCCTCGCCCATCTTATAGGCATGGGCCGGCATTATTATCTCCACTTTACTGAGATAAAGTGAGTGCTGAGGCTCAAGACCAGGTCGCTACTGCGGAGTGGCACAACAGGGCCTGGAGACACCTGCCTGCCTCCAAGCCCAACATTGTCTTTAGGAAAGCATAGCCTCTCCCTGCCCCAGGCTGCCTGCTGGAACCTCAGCCCTCTCTGCCCCCTCCCTGTACTTGCCTTCCAGTCAAGCAGATTCTGGAGAAACATTACTTCTTCTGTGGGCAGCCCCTCCACTACATCCCAAGGAGGAATCTGTGTAACGGGGAGCCGGACTGTGCCTCGGGGGAGGATGAGGAACACTGTGTCAAGAACATGCCCGAAGGGCCTAAAGTGTCTGGTGAGTCCAGGGGCCGAGGGACAAGAGAAATGGGCACAGCAGGAAGTCCACTTGGACCCCCTGTGGTGCACTGTGTAGCACCTGCCAACTATCTGTCAGTTTCCAACCCTGTTGTATAAGACCATGCCTGGTCTACCCTTAGATCCCAGTCCTTAACACAAAGCAAGCAAGGTGTAACTAAGTTGCCCCATCCCTGCTTCACCTGGGTGGGTTTGAGGCAGATGGCTAACTCAGATGATCTTGGGGAGTTCCTCCTTTCTATGAAATCTATTGTCCCAAGGAGACTACAAGAGGGACCAAGCAGCTATCCATCCTTCTATCCATTGGTGTTTATTGTAGCATGCCATGTAACGGGATCAAGCTGGGTCTTGCAGAGAATATAAGATGTTTTGAGCTTATATAAAAATCCATGTTCTTGCTTGGACAGGACTAGCCTAGCTTGATCCACCTGGTACTTGGGTTCTGAAGAGAAAAAAAATAGTCCAGGAGATGGGTGAGGGGCTTTCAAGGGGCAGGAATTTGCTCTTCCTTATCAGAAGTCTGATGCCTATAGGTTCCTGCCATCTCCTGTCAGTGGGACTTCTCATGCCCCTGCCCCTCTACTTTACATGGAGAAGGGACCAAGGTCCCTCTCTGAGAAGTTTCTCCAGGCAGGGCAAATTGCATGGACCGAAGGTAGCGTGACCGTGTCCTTTATCACCAGAGAAAGTGGTGGTGTTCTGTGATGCCCTCAGTTTTGGGTTGGGGAAGCTGGAACTGGGCTTACGATGTGTTCTGAGCGGGATGGGCCAGGTAGGTCTCACCCTCCAGCTGACCCAGGTCTTTTTCCTTCTAGTTCGCCTCTCCAAGGACCAATCCACCCTGCAGGTGCTGGACCAGGACACAAAGAAGTGGTACTCTGCTTGTTTCGACCAGTTCACAGAGGCTATGGCCAAGACAGCCTGTAGGCAGATGGGCTATAGCAGGTACCCAGCCCAAGCCTCTGGAGGCTGTCACGTCACCCCTGTGACCGCCTTTCTCCCTTCCTCTTCCTTCTTTCCTACATACCCTCCTCCTCCTTTCCTGTAAATACAGGCATTGGTGCCAGGCAGAAATTTTCCATCCCAGTGCTTTCACTTACAAGCAACATGAAGTGAAATTTCCTCAGCCTCAATTTCCTCAGGAGTCATTCGGGGAGCCGAGTGTAGTGGTGGGCACCCACAGTCCCAGCTACTCGGGAGGCTGGGGCAGGAGGATGGCTGGAGCCTAGGAGTTTGAGGCTGCTGTGAACTATGATCATGTCACTGCACTCCAGCTGGAACAGTAGAGCTAGAACCTATCTCTAAAAAGAACAAAAGTTAATTAGGGAAAGTAATGCCATTCTCAAAGGGTGATTATGCCGATGAGAGAAGATCTGAGGTCACCTCCAACACACACACAGTACCAGCTTACCCTTGTCCTCAATCCTCACTTGTTCATCCTGACTTTGCAATTGTCCCTGCGCAGTAATACAAAAGCCTGATTTACTTACTGAACGTTCCATCGGTTACAATTTAGTTTAAGCGAGGCTGATTTCATTAGGGCCTCATCATCAGCAAGCTCAGCTCTCTCAGCAGATTTCAAACACAGCTCCAAGTCTGGAGGGAAGGAAAAGGTATAGAGTTAGAATAAGAGTAATTAGCATTATGGATATTTATATTCATTTGATCTTGACAGAAAACCCAAAAGGTAGTTATCATACTGCTTTTATAAATAGACTCAGAGAAGATGAATAACATTCTCAGATCGTTGCTGGGAGGTAGGGGGCTGGAATGTATGTCTAAGACCCCTAATTCCCAGGCATCAGGGGTTCTAGAATCTCTTTCTCTGGGTTGGGTAATTCTCTCCTCTCATGGAACTTTATCTCTAAAGGAAAGGGAGATGAGACAGTTGGTCACTCAGAAAGCCTAACTGAGTGGTAAATAACCCACGTGTGCAGCTGCAGAGTGGGATCTGGCGGGCCCCAGACTTCCTCAGGATTCTAAGAAACTGGACCCATAATAACTAGGCAGCCATCACTAATCAATCACAGACCCCTCTCCCTGATCTCTAACACAGCCTCAAGGTCCTTTTTCAATAAATGCTCCGGGCAGTCATTGCAAATCAATCGGACCTATTTCCTCTCTCAGTTCTGCTTATCTGGCTTCTGCTGCTGTTTCTCCTCCAGGGGGTGCAACCCTGCCACTTTCATTTCAAAAAGTGGAGGAGGCATGCTCTCCACCCCACCTCCCTACCTCATCCCCCCACACCTGCTGCTCCCTTCTGCAGTGGCCCAACCCAGCCTTGTTGCAGGCTGCCCTTCCTTCCTACTGTAGTCCAGTCAACTGCTGTGTCATCGTCAGCCATACCTAGCACAGCAGGCTGAGGCTTGACTGTGAAATCTGGGTGTCTCCAGGAGTTCTTAATGTAATAGGCTCCCAGAATTTCTGTCCTTCCGGAGCTCACTAAAGCACCAAACCACCTGGCTGAACAAAATCAAAGCTCATCAGAATCATTTATGAGGAGGTAATTGGTGAGCCGGGGTTAACATTCCTGGGAACGTCTGCTTCCAACACATCCCTCATCTGGGTCTCAGGTTTCTCTGCTTTCTTTCCTCCACCTCCTGGAGGCCATTCTTCTTCTAGAGCCCTAAAACCATGAGCAATTTAAGGAGGGATAAACCCTAGGGGTCATCCACTCTACCCATCATTTCACAGAGGAGGAAACTGAGGCTTCAAGAGACCCAGAGAAGGAACAGGACCTGCTCAATGTCACTATTCAAACTAATGTCAGAGCTGGGACAAGAACCTATGTGTTGAGAGCTCTTATAACAGACTGTGCTCCTCCCAGGTTGAAGACCTGGGTCCACACAGGTAGTGCCTGCGTTCCTGCCCAAGAACGTGCCATTCAGCCAGTCTCGTGGAATTGGCCCAACCCTCCATGCAGAGCGCATACTGGCACATATTAGCACTATTGGGGAAGAATGAACAGATTTGGAAGAGACAGATTTAGTAAAGGAATAGTCAGAGGGATGGGATTAATAAGCTAAGTCTTGCTGGAGGAGGGAAGACATAAACCCAAACTTTGAAAGGAGGCGAGCATAGATGAGCAGAGAAAGAGGAAGGGTGGTCCAAGTGAGGGGAATGTTTCTCTGGTTCCTACAAAGACCGATCCAGGCTTGCCCAATCTCCAACTGGGCCATCAATGTACCCCCACTATCAAAGTCAACCAGATACCTTGGTTGCACAACCGAATATTCATATTCCAATTTCCTCCAAGGTGACAAAGGAGCTAACCCAGGCCCCTAGACCTCTTTGTTTCCCCTTGCTATGAACCAGAAGAGACTTCTGGAACATTTGAAATAGGTCTAGAGCTGGGGGGTTGGAAAGGGGATCCCTAACCTTTCTCCTGAGCTCTGGGTTCTGGACAAGGAGTCCCTGCAAGGCCATGTCAATGCTGTGCCTAGGGGTGAGTCCTGGGATGCCGAGAGAATGTTCCTTACTGTATAACAAAACAGGCCCCACCCTCACTGGCCAAGACCACCTCTACTCCCTTGCTACTTTCCACCGGATGTTCTCCACCATTCTCTCTCCTAGGAGTAGGGACTGTTCCTACCATCTTGTTCTAACCTCCAGCCCCAGCTCACAATTCTCTCTCCCTCCTGATATGAGCAGTAAGCCTGTCTTCAAGGATGTGAGGATGGACCCAGACCAGGAACTGGATGTTGTTCTAGTCACGGAGAAGACCCAGCAGCTTCGGGTGCTGAACACGAGTAGGTAAGTGAGAAGACACCGCCTGGCCTACAGCAGGCTAGCGCATGGAGGCTGCTCTTAGGGGTGCAGCCAGCTCACCCGGAGCAGACTGCCAGCAAGGGGAATGTAGGCCAGACAACAAGAAGAACTCCTAGTGAGGCAGATCATGGAATGCCAAGAGCCATAGAATCAGATTTCTGATCGGTTTTTTTGGTTTTTTTTAATACAATGGAGAGCTGGGCAAAGTATGCTGCCCTACTCAAAGGCAGAGAGAGAGAGAAAGTGACCTGTCCATTCATCTGAATAGTAAAACCAAATTGTTTTGCTACCACCTTAGGTTTCCTAATAAATTTCCCAAGGTCACCTGTCCTTCCCCACCACTTACCCAGGCCAGAGTAAAACCTCTCTATCTGCCCAGTGCTCCAGGGAAGAGCCCCCAGGGCCCCGCTGATGGCCTATTCCTGTGCCTCACCACCCTGCTGGAGCATAGTCCCTAGATGAAATCTGTCACCCTACAGTCAAGTGGCTCAGGGAAGATGCTGGCTTCTTAGCATTCAAGGATGTTGCTGAGAGCTGCTTATTCACCAAAGAATAAATCTTGAGAAGGACAGGCTTGGTAGCAGAATGATCATTAGCCTGGAATCCCATCAAGATCCTTCTTGCGTTTGGAAAGTCGTCAGCGCAGCAGATTCTGTTCCTGGCTCGGCTCTCTTCCCTCTCGGGCTGCCAGGAGGCCAGGTTAGGCTTGGAGGCAGGCTTCGTGCTCAGCACTGAGGGGGATGACTCAAATCGAATTAAAGTACAAATGCTGTTTCTATGTCCCTATTGTGCAGGTTCTAGATTTTCCAGGTATTGGGAGGGGACTTCAATCACCAACACTAGAAGGCCCAAGTCACTGCCTCCCCGCCAAGAGAGAAACTGAAACTACAGGCCCCTTTTTGTCTCTTCCAGACCCTGTCTCTCGGGCTCCCTGGTTTCCCTGAACTGCCTTGGTGAGTATGCCCCGTCTCGGAGGGTTTGGGGCCCGGGCCAGCAAAGTGCAGAAAGGAAGGCCTTCATCCTTTTTCCTACATCTCAGCCTCCAAATTTCACTCTGTTTTGGCCCAACCTTAGTACTTCAGCCCTCGAGCTTGTGGGTCAGTGCTCCATCTCATGGTTGACGTTAAGAACTCCCGTCACCCATCTGCACGCAGCCCTGTGACCCATGCAGAGACCTGAGAGGGAGACTGGGGAAACTGAAAAGGGGGGACTGGGCCTCCCATCCTTCCCACCCCTAATCAGGGCACACATAACCTCCTTTGTCACAATCAGCTCAGGTAACCGAGATCAGATTATCCACATTCCCCTGAGCAAATTTCACTAAACCGTTAGAATACGTCTCACTCTGTCACATGCCAGTGGAAGTAGAAAATGCCAGAGAAGTAAAAGAACTGATCATTATCCTCAACCGAGTGAAAGAGAGAGGCGTGACAACCTGTGGGAAGTCCCCAACTGAGTGGCCATCACAGTTGCCATGCTGCAGAGAGACCTGGGCCCCTGTCACGTTCACATCTAGTGTGACCTTGAGTGATTCCCCTGACCTCTCTGAGGTCTGGTGAATTTTCCTAACAAGCTCTTTGGTCCAACTGCCCAATGAGGATCTCAGGGGTCCCTTCTAGCTCTAACAGAGAAGAAAGGGAAAACCAACACTGTGGCCTGGGCTGCTCCTACCAGCAACATGGGCAAGGACTGAGCCAGGCCAGTTAGCCCAAGAGAAGAGGAAGAAGGTCACGTCACTGCCTGCGTAGTTCAGCAGTGTATGTGCCCCCCCCCCGTTGGATGTTAAGGGGTTTGTTATCCCCACAACACCTACTGTGTGGGATCTGACACATAGTGAGTGTCGGTGAAGAATGAGCAGCCATCACCTCAGGTGTGGCATAAAGTAGCCCTGGAGGTACAAAGATGCTCCAGGGACAGGTCCTCCTTTAAAGAGCCTCTGTCTCACCCAGATAACAAGGCTTAAGCATAATAACCTCAGTGAAAAGCTGGCCAACACCTGGACCAGCTGTGAAAAGTCCAACACAGGACAATCCCTTGGCATCTCAGGACTCACCTCTAGGCACAGTGTTGATGTGGCCTTGCCAAGGACCCCTTGTCCAGAACCCAGAGCTCAGGAGAAGTATTAGGGATCCCCTTTTCAACCCCCCAGCTCCAGATCTATTTCAGATATTCCAGAAGTCTCTTCTGGTTCATAGCAGGGGGAAACAACAATATTCAGTTGTCCAAACAAGGTATCTGGTCAACTTTGACAGTGGGGGGTACACTGATGGCCCAGCTGGAGATTGGGCAAGCCTAGATCAGCCTTCGTGGGACAGCCTAGAGGTGGTGCCCAGACTTAACACTGAGAACCGAATCTGGAGGCCACAGCGTGGGAAGGGCCATGACTGACTTTCTGTCTCGCCCACCACTCTCTCCCAGCACCCAGCACTGCGCGGAGACACTGTAGGCAACTCAGCACGAATGTGTTGAATTGATTAACGGCAGATAAACAGGAAAAGAGATAACATTTCAGAAAGGAGCAACTTCCTCGAGCAAAAACAGAGTGATTTTTTAGGGAGCTGCAAGCAGATCAATTTGGCTGGATGGAAACTTTACACAGGAGGCGTGTAAACTCTACCCTGCCCACGAGGGGGGATGCTGAGGGGCCTTGAGGGGATGGACAGGGTAGAATGAAGAAAGTGATGTTTGAAATCAGGTGAAGTTTGAAAAGCACAGCGCCGGACAGGCAGGAAAGGGCAGCAGCCTTTCCCCCTTAGAATGGACACCAGGGCAGTGGCTGCCAGAAGGACTGGAGAGGCAGAGCCTGGGACAGAGACTGGGATTTGGAGACCTTGCTCGTGTTTCCAGGATGGGAAAGCCGGGTCAGCGGGATGTCAGATTGGAAGACCCCCGCTTAGCAGGTGGAAGAGACTTGCAGGAGGAGGAGATTGGGATGGAAAGATTCGGTTTCTGGCACTTTTCTTCCACTTCCAGGTCCCAAAGCAGCTTGTAGGCATCTCTTGCTTAGCAGAGGCAACTAGGGACACTCCACCTGGGCAGGGCTTTTATAATTTTGCATCACTGTTTGGTTAGAAGGTCATCAATTCCCAGCACAATGGGCACGCCCATGTGCACAGTCTAAACTCCTAAACACATCCAAAGCCAGAAAGAAAAAAGGAGAGGAAGATTCAGGGAAAGCTTGTGGTCTAGGACACTCAATATCCCCCCGTGAACAATTCAGGAGTGGCTGGGTTCTCCTCCACCCTTCCTCCCCAGTTGTAGGTGTGTGCTCAGGGTGGATGCTGGACCCCAAGGGGAGGCCGCCCCATCCCCCTGTACAGGTTGATTAATTTCCTGCTTTCTTCCTCCTTCTGACCAACGTGGAGTGCAGCCTGTGGGGAGAGCCTGAAGAGTCCTCGGGTGGTGGGCGGGTCCCAGGCCTCTCCCGATTCTTGGCCTTGGCAGGTCAGCCTCCAGTACAATAAGCAGCACATCTGTGGAGGCAGCATCCTGGACCACCGCTGGATCCTCACCGCCGCCCACTGTTTCAGGTAAGGCTCTGGAAGAAAGGAGGCCCAGGGGGTGGGGGTGTGAGTGGGGCCAAGGAAGAGCCAAAGAGCTTGAGACCCTGTCTCCCCTACAGACCATTGCCAGAGGGTGGGCACCCCAGTGAGACACGGGCTGTGATGCCCTTTGTTAGGAACCGAGGATATTAGCAGAGGTTGCTGGGCAGCAAGCTTGACCCCTCCTAGCGGGAAGCCATCAGATACCAGTGTCCTCTCCTGCCCTCCCACCCCCCATGGTTAACTCCACCCTTCTGCTTAGAGTCCTCACTCTGTTTTCACCTGTCTTCCAGGAAGTTGTTCCAGGGTCTAGAGTCTCAGCCACTTATTCATTATGTCCAGAAACTAAAAAAAAAAAAAAAATTAAGAAGTATCGATTCCCTTTCGATACTCTCTCCAGCAGAGAGAGACCTGGCCAGACCTCTAGGAAGGGCCACTCATAGGAAGTCTCACTTCTTTTCATTCATTCATTCACCATCTGAGTACCCACTTGGGTACCAAGCACCAGATATGTGCCCAAGCACGTTAGACCATCACTGCCTTCAAAGAGTTCACAGTCTCAGCCAGTGGTTCTGAACATTTTTTTTGAAAAGCTGCTATAAATCTTTTCCTGGAAAAACACCTCTGCACACTAAGCTGTGTCTGGCATTAACAGAACAAGCTTATAGCATAACTGACCGCAGCATAAGTGCCGTGTGAGTCACAGAGACAATGAAAAGGGTTGGAGGAGAGAGCGCTGGGACCCCTCCCCAGCCCCCCTTCAAGTTTCCTTGGGCACATTTCGCTGAGGAAAAAGAATCAAATCTCCTTTTAGAATTTGCTTTTGGTAGGTGAGTCTTCAGACTGCCTCCTCTCCACCATACACCTTCTGGGGAGCAACACCCAGCACCCCAATCCCAGGGCCCTGGGGACCCAGCCTTTGGCACAGCCTCTTGACATGCTTGGCTCGGGCCTGACCTCAGCTCTCTCTGCCCCCCCAGGAAGTATCTCGATGTGCCCAACTGGAAGGTGAGGGTTGGCTCGAACAAAGCGGGCAACTTCCTAACCCTGCCTGTGGCCAAGATCGTCGTCATTGAGCTCAACCCCATATACCCCAAAGAGAAGGACATTGCTCTTATAAAGCTGCAATCCCCACTCATATTCTCAGGTGAGAGGTGGTACCTGGGGTGACAGGCAGAGGGCCACCTGAGCCCCTTATGTCAGGTTTCACTCACACTCTGCCATTAGCTCACTGGGCGGCCTTAGCACATCATCTCTCCTCTTGTTTCTGATCGCTGCTGCCATCAGATAACCCTCCACCCCGTCCCCTGTGGTAGATCCTTCCAAGGTCTATTTTCTCCATTTGGAACCTCTCAAGTGGGAATCATAGATCCAGCCAATCTTGGGGTTGCAAGGGACCTTTGAAAAAGATCATCCAGTTCCTTTCCCACCCATGACCAGTGCCCAAGAGTCTGCACAGTATCTGTGCCGAAGGGTCATTGTACCACTGTCTGTTCTCCTCCTGGGGAAGAGAACTCGTTACCTCTAAGGCCACCCACAGAATCTTTGAACAGCTATCAGATGCCCCGTGCTTACACCGAATAGTATTTCAGTCAGCACTTCCAGCTGTGGTTTCCAGAGGACACTGGTCCCTTGGGAAAGAGAGGGTTCCATCATCAAATACGTTTAGGGAACATTTTCATAGGAAGGCCCCTTCTTGGAGCACATTCATTTATTAAAGGTATGAGAAGTTATTTAAAAGAAACTGTTTGACTGTATTTAACCCACATTTTAAAAACTATTTAGCCATAGAATCCTTTTTCCTGTCACTTCTACTAGCATCTCACAGAACAAGTATTATAGAAACCCTGGTGTGTGGCTCAGCACCCGTAGCTCAGTGAGTAGGGTGCCAGCCACATACACCAAAGGTGGAGGGATTGAGCCCAGCCTGGGCCTGCTAAACAACGACAACTGCAACAAAAAAATAGCCAGGCCTTGTGGCGGGCACCTATAGTCCCAGCTACTCAGGAGGCTGAGGCAAGAGAATCACTTAAGCCCAAGAGTTTGAGTTTGCTATGAGCTGTGATGCCACAGCACTCTACTGAGACTGTCTCAAAAAAAAAAAAAGAAAAGAAAAGAAAGATGGCGGCGCCTGTGGCTCAAAGGAGTAGGGCACCAGCCCCTTATATCGGAGGTGGTGGGTTCAAACCCAGCCCCGCCAAAAACTACAAAAAAGAAAGAAAGAAAGAAAGAAATCCTGGTCTGAACCCTTTCAGAAGGCTCATCTGCCAGGCTCTCCTGAACCCCAAGTCTGTTTCAAGATTTGTTTTAATCAGGGGGCGTAAGATGATGAATTATGAATTTTGAAAGAAGAGTTTATTATTTATAATTCCTGAGGGAAAGAGAGGTAACCACATAGGGAATCACCCGGGACAGTCAGGAGGCAGAAGGCATGAGGGGAAAGCATGACTCAGGGTCATGGCTGTGGTTTCCACAGGAAGCTCTGGACAAGGCAAGGCAGTCAAGTTTGAGCAAGGGTGGGACTGGAGAGCATGAGCAATTCTCTGGGCTACAGAGGTTTCCCATTGTCTGGTACCTGGCCCTGGAGTGATTTAAGGCAAGAAAATGTTGACTTGATGTGTGAGAATTAGATAAAGGAGGTGGGTGAGGAGGTGCACTCGGATTGGTTGTTTTCTGTATTAAAGGCACGCCCACAGGCAAGTTGTTTACTCTCTGTAGAGATTAGCTAACCTAGTCTCTCCCAGACCAGCAAGAGCCCCATGATCATAAAAATGATAAAATAGAAGAATGTATTTCAACTCCATCCAGGTAAATGTAAAAGATATAAAGTCTCCATCTTTTTGATGGCTGAATAATATTCCACGGTATACATATACCATGGTTTGTTGATCCATTCATGGGTTGATGGGCACTTAGGTTGCTCCCACAGCTTGGCAATTATAAATTAAGCCACAAGAAATATTCCAGGGCAAATGTCTGTGTGGTAAAATTATTTTTATTCTTCTAGATATATACCTAGTAATGGGATTACAGGGTCAAATGGAAGATCTACTTTTAGATCTCTGAGGATTCTCCATACTTCTCTCCAAAAAGGCTGTATTAGTTTGCAATCCCACCAGCAGTGTAGAAGTGTTCCTGTATAGCAAGAATGAAAAAAATAAATATTCAATGTACTCCAGTCTAATATGAAATCAATATAAAAACATGTTCGTAAGAACAATAAAACACAATATAGTCCAGGTCAGGGGTAGTGGGAAGTGGGAGGAGGGAAGGGAGAGGTCCTTTGAGAGAAGGAAGGAGGACATGAGGTGAGATCACACCTAATGGTACATTGTGAGGGTGTATAATACGCCCCCTAGGTGAGGGGCTCTTCTACAAAGAGAACTTTACCCAGCAAGTGGGAACAATGTAACATAAAAATTGTACCCTCATATTAATTTGAGTAAGGTTTAAAAAAAGACAAAAGAAAAATTCCCAGCAGCAGAGATTCCTGGGAGCCAAGAGTTAACCAGCTAAATAAATCAACAGAGGATGAAGCGACTAAAAAAAAAAAAAATCATAAAATAGAGAAAATAATACAGGGTCTCCCCCTTCTTCTCTGCTCCTGGCAGACAGAATCAGGCCCATCTGCCTGCCCTTCTTCAATGAGGAGTTCACTTCGGCCACCCCACTCTGGGTCATCGGTTGGGGCTTAACAGAACAGAATGGAGGTAAGTTGTGGGCTCAGAACCACAGGGCAAGAGAGGTTCTTATTTGCAGGAGCAACTCCCAGAAGTATGAGTAGGAGGACCATCCTATAGAAAAATCCTCCTCCCTGGAGGACCAAGCACCAAGGTGCCAGGCACAAAAGCAAAGTGACTTGATAAGCTGGGGCATCAGAAGGCAAGAATGGGAATCTCAGTGTGTTTTTAACCTTCCAGGGAAGATGTCTGACGTTCTGATGCAGGCGTCAGTCCAGTTCATTGACAGAAGACAGTGCAATGCAGATGATGCCTACCAGGGGGAGGTCATGGAGAAGATGATATGTGCAGGCATCCCGGAAGGGCGCGTGGATGCCTGCCAGGTGAGACCTCCAAGGATCCTGAGAAATTCTGTGGATAGAGATGTAGGTCCTCGAGAGATGAGAAGACCCAGAGGCTGAATGCCTCATGTGAAGCCTTGCATATGGCGGGCACTCCACGTGTCATGATGGGAGAGAGAAAAAGAGGGAGGGAAGGAAAGAATAGTCAGATAGGGATATCAGAATGGATGGGAGCCTGTAATCCCAGCTATCCAGGAGACTGAGGTGGGAGGATTGCTTGCCTCAGGAGTTCAAGGTTACATTAAGCTATGATTGTGCCACTGCACTCCAGCCTGGGGGACAGACCAAGACCTCATCTCTTTGTAAAAAAAAAAAAAAAAAAAAAGGATGGATGGATACAAACAAGTAAAATGATTCCAAATTCCAACGAAAATGACATTACTCACCCTCCTCACCCACTTCTATGATCTGTGGGACTATAGGCCCCTTGAAAGATGGAACTCCCAAGTCTGTTTTGTCTGTGACTGTCCCCAAGCTGTTGAACTGCACTTATAAAAAGCTACCTCATCTGGATGGGCACTGGTGCGTGTCCCCTACCCCACCCTCACTGCCAGACAGTTTAGCAAACCCTGTGTATTCTCACATCCCGACACAGCCAGAGTCTCCTGAGCCATTTTTGTTAAAATCCCTCACCCTATTCTCACCCCCATTTTAAGTCACTAAGTTCCTTCATGTAAGAAGTATCTCTTAGTCATCTCTTGTGTGCCCCAAACATTGGGACATGGCAGATCTGTCCTCAGGGAGCTCACACTGGCGGTGGTGAGATGCCTACAGTGCTACTGGGTTCAGGGGGAGGCAGCCCCAGGGGCTACAGAAGCCAGTAAGGACTCCCAAATGAGTGTACTTTTCATGATCTGACTTTTTCTTTTTTTCCTTATTGCTTGTTTTACTGTCTTTCCTCATGCCACTTGATTCTAAGCTTCCTGAGGGCAGGGAGTCTTTGTGGGTGTTTTCGTTTTTTTTAATAATTGAGTCCCAATTGCTTAGAATAGTACCTGGCACAAAATAGGCACTCCGTAAGTGGCTAAATAAATGTGGGGACTACTAGGTTAAACAAAGAGAACCAGGCTTCCTTACTGCACCTCTCAGAGCCTTCACTCTGCTGCTAATGGGGGTTCTGAGTCTTTGGGAGAGAGCTAACAGCACTCCCACCACTTCCTTGACCCCAGCGAGACCCTTCTGCCCCAGAAGGAAGAACATTCCAGGGTGCTGGGGAGCGCAGGGAAGCAGGTGGGCCAGTTCAGGGAGGGAGGAAGGAAAGCCCAGCCCCTGGCCTGCTCTCCCAGCAGCCCCTATTCTGACCTTTCACAGGGTGACAGCGGTGGGCCCCTGATGTACCGATCTACCCAGTGGGAGGTGGTGGGCATTGTTAGCTGGGGCTACGGCTGTGGGGGCCCAAGCACCCCAGGAGTATACACCAAAGTTGCAGCCTATCTCAACTGGATCTACAGTGTCCGGAAGGTAAGCAGGTGGGCTCTAGCCACTGTACTCCCCCTCCCTTCCTCCACCCTGGGGGTACCAAATCATCCTTAGGTTCGATCTAAATGGCTCTGACAACCCTTTCCAACCCAAATGATTTTCCATCTTAGGAAGTAACAGCCTAGGATTCCGCAATTCAGGCCGAAATTCCTCACATCAGACATGACTGTTAAATGCAAATACTTTTGGGTATAGAATACACCCCGCTTTTTCAAGTCTCTATTTTATGGCAGAATGAGACTAACAGATCCCTCCTACAGACAAGATTCAGGGTGGTGCCTATAGCTCAGTGGGTAGGGCGCCAGCCACATACACGCAGGTTAGCAGGTTTGAACCCGGCCCAGGCCAGCTAAACAACAATGACAACTGCAACAAAAAAATGGCCAGGCATTGTGGTGGGCACCTGTAGTCCCAGCTACTTGGGGGGCTGAGGCAAGAGAATTGTGTGAGCCCAAGAGTTTGAGGTTGCTGTGAGCTGTGACGCCACAGCACTCTACCAAGGGCAACATAGTGAGACTCCGTCTCAAAAAAAAAAAAAACCAAAGGAAGATTCAGATAAGGAAAAGGATGAAAGGCTTATGAGATTTCCTTATGAGATTACCCTTAAAGGGTAGGAAAAGAAACAAAGAGCTTCAGAAAAGGAAGATTAATTTTGCACATGTCACCACTTTGCCCAGCTTAACATTATCTGACTTTCTCTTCCTCGGTCTCTTTTATTCTAGGCTGAGCTATAATGCTGCCGCCCCTCTGCAGTGCTGGGAGCTGCTTCCCCTGTGCCCTGCCCACCTAGGGGTCCCCGAAGTCAGACACGGAGCAACAGCCCCCTTGGGCACACCTCTGCGCTCACAGCCCCAGCATTCCTTGGAGCAGTAAAGGGCCTCCATTCCTGTAAGAGATCCCCACAGCCCAGAGGCACCCAGAAGGAAGTCACTAGCATTGGGTCAGTCATCCTTTGGTGCTCCCAGCATTCCAGGGAGAGACACAGTCCACTGAACGAGCCTGGGCTGAGATTTCAAAGGCATTGCTAAGCCGAGAAGGAACTTTCCCACTCCTATGAGAGCCCAGATCACCAAGGGCTAGAGTGGAGGAGGAAAGGGTCTGAGCCAGCCCTCTCCTCCTCCACCCATCCCCGAGCCCACTGGAGTAAGAAACTTATTGTAATGTAAAATGCTCTGTCCCACTGTTGGCACCACTAGTGCTACCTACTGTTGTTATGATTATTACCTCTATGGCCAATATTATTAAACAGGTATGTGAAATCTTTGGCATGGGCTGGCTGGGCTGCTTGATAAGAACTGAGCTAGGACCATTGAACCTTTATTCTTTATCCTGGGGAGAAAAACGTCCAAGGGAGACAACTGTTTCTCGAAAGAGAGGCAAGAGAAAAAAGGAGATGTGGAGACCCAAGAGTTCCTATGTCTCTACCTCCTCACCAGCACTTGTTATTTTCTGTTAAAAATGGGTATTTTGATAATCAAGCAAAAATGACAGGCAGACTTAGAATAAAATCACATAGAGGTCTTAGAAATAAAAATTGGCTGGGTACCATGGCACATATCCTATAATCCCAGCACTTTAGGCCAAAGTGGGAGGATCACCTGAGGCTTAGGAGACCGGCCTGGGCAACTAGCAAAACCCCCATCTTGATAAAAAATTTAGAAGTTGGCCGGGTAGGGTGGTTCTCACCTGTAGACTCAGCTACTCCAGAGGCTGAGGCAGGAGGATTGCTTGAACCTAGGAGTTCAAGGCTGAAGTGAGCTATGATTGTGCCACAACCTGGGTGACAGTTCAAGAACCCTTTCAAGAAGGAAGGAAGGAAGGAAGGAAGGGAGGGAGGGAGGGAGGAAGGGAGGGAGGGCACATGGTAAAAATGAAGATAAATCTGAAACTTTATATACATAAAATAACAATAACATCTATTTTATGGGTTTTTTTAAGTGAATCATAGCTGTGTACATTAATGCAATTATGGGGTACAATGTGCTGGTTTTATATACCATTTGAAATATTTTCATCAAACTGGTTAACATAGCCTACACCACATTTTCTTAGTTATTGTGTTAAGACATTTATACTCTACACTTAAAAATTTAATATGTACCCTTGTGAAATGCACCATAGTCGTGCCTGACTAAATATGGAGTAACAATAACCTATAAAATAGAAGGGGGGATAGTTGGAGTTAAAATATTCCCAAGTTCTTAAATTTTTCAAGGGGAGGGTTAAATATTTATGTTACCCCGCTGCTCAATTTGACTGGCTTAAAAATAAATAAATAAGGTTATGTTACGTAAAGTCTTTGTACTATGTTCTAGGTGGTCAAAAAGGTAACCACCAAAAGAATGAAAAGAAAGTGTGTCACTTCCAAAAGAAGAAACAGATTAAGAAAAGACAAGCAAACAAACAAAATTAAGCAACCTCAAAAGGAGGAAGAGGAGGAGAACTAAGAAGAAGAAAAAGCATTAAAAACTGGAATAAATATGGCTCGGCACCTGTAGCTCAGTGGCTGGGGCACTGGCCACGTACACCAGGGCTGGCGGGTTCAAACCTGGCCCCAGCCTGCCAAACAATGACAACTACAGTCAAAAAATAAATAAATAAATAAGTAAAATAACCAGGCATTGTGGCAAGCACCTGTGGTCCCAGCTATCTAGGAAGCTGAGGCAAGAGAATAGCTTAAGCCCAAGAGTTTGAGGTTGCTGCGAGCTGTGACGCTACAGCACTCGATACCAAGGGCAATATAGTGAGACTCTGTCTCAAAGAAAAAAAATGGAATAAATAGAATATAAAGAGTCAGATGGTCAAAAAAAAAAGTACAATAATCACAATAAAAGTTCAACTCACCAATTAATATACAGAGATAGTCAAGTTGGCTAAAAATGTAAAACCAAGCTATGTGCTATTTATAAGAGACATATACAAAATATCAGATTACAGAACCATTGACACTAAAAACGGTGGGGAAAGATATAAAAAGCAAGCACTTAACCAAACCGGGGGTAGCTATAGAATTTTTTTTAAATAGAGATTTAGAACAAAAAAGACAAAACTAACTTTAAGATAAAGAGAGTCACTACATAATCACAAAAGGCTCAGTTCCTCAAGAAGATCTATTAAGTGAAAACTTGTAAACAAAGAAAACAGCACAATCCGTTTGTCACCCAAGTCCGGAGTTGGCAGTCACACCGAGTCTGTACTCTGAAATGGTACTGAAAGAGAAAACTATTAGCATTATTCTGCTTTGCCACGGGAATCTACTTTCAGCTAACAGGATGGCTCTAGGTGGTGAGCGAACACTCTAGTTTCCTGAAAAGCGTAACCAATCGATACGGATGAATGACAGAAAACCACTGTTGGCAACTTCTAATGAAGTCATTGATTTAGGCCAGGATCCTCAATGAACAGTAAAACCATTCAGTGAGAGATTAATGATTGCCATGGTTTGAATGCTTGTGGCCCCCCTCAAATTCACGTGTTGAGTTCTGACTTTCAGAGTGTTGGTATTAGGAGGTGGGGCCTTTGGGAGGTGACCAGTTCATTAGAAATGCAGCCTCACAAATGGAATCCCTGCCCTTGTAAAAGAGGCTTGAAGGAGCCTGTTTGTCCCTCTGTCATGTGAGGACACAGCAACAAGATGCCATCCAGGAAGCAAAGAGCGAGCCTTCAGCAGACCCTGAGTCTGCTGGCACCTTGATCTTGGACTTCCCAGCCTCCAGAACTGTGAGCAATAATTGTGTGTTGTTTATAAATTATCCAGTCTAAGGTATTTTGTTACAGCAGCAGGAATGGATTAAGACTATGAAGAACTGAATATTTGCATAATACCTACATATCCCTCCATTGATTCCTTGCTAATCTCAATGAGAAATCTACTGTTAAAACGAAGGGATCAGACTGTCATTGCCTTACCTAGTAGTGGAATAACCAGACACTATCTTCCTTCTAACGTCGCATATGAAGTTCACCTTCATTTGCATCACCTAAAGACATCTTACCAGCTCAGCACCTGTAGTTAGGCAGCTAGGGCGCCGGCCACATACACAGGGGCTGGCAGGTTCAAACCCAGCCCAGGCCTACCAAACAACAACAAAATAACTAGGCATTGTGGCAGGTGCCTATAGTCCCAGCTACTTGGCAGGCTGAGGCAAGAGAATTGCGTACACCCAAGAGTTGGAGATTCCTGTGAGCTGTGATGCCATGGCACTCTACCCACGGTGACAGCTTGAGACTCTGTCTCAAAATAAATAAAAATATAAAAATATTAAAAAAAAAATAGTGAGAGCACGAGAGCTAGTTTTGTGCTCCCAGCAATTTCCTCTCAGCCTCACCTGCAGCCCCCATCCCCCCATCTCCAGGCCTCAGTCATCCACTGGCTTCCTGCTTCCAGTGGACCCAGGCCTGGCCCCTTCCATCCCTGCAGGTATAAAATCCTGGCCACTGTCATCTTCATAGCCACCACTGGTCCCTGCCCCCCCTGGGGCCAGGGCCAGGCTTTGGCTCAGTGGCCTTCCCCACATGCACCAAGATGACAGCCACAGCAGCCGTAGCTCCCCTGGCCAGCTGACTGCACCTGGAGAGCTCTGGCTTTCCCTGATGTTGCCTGGAGAAGCTGAGTAACCAAATACAGAAACTGTTATTCATGGTGTGTATGTGAAATAGTGGAAGACAGGAGAAAGGAAGGAGCCAGCAGATAGATTGCTCCTCCTTCTTCCCCAGCCTGGAGCTATTCAGAGAAGGCTAATCCCCCAGGGGACAGGTTTTATGATTCAGCAACTGGGCGGCACCTGATGCAGCTGTGGTCAGCTCAGAAACCATGACCTTGTCTTTGCTTTCTTTGCTCCCTGCCTCACAGCCCTGTCCCCCTCACCCTTGCTTCCCGAGGACTGAACTCCCCAATAATATCTTAAGGTGTGAATTTAACAGAAAACTAAAGTTTTCTAAGAAACCTACACTAAGTCATTCAAACAAATGAAGATCTCCACTCGTAATGCTATTAAGTTATAAGATGACACCAAACAATAATTTTTTAAATATAAAATGCCTAGGTAATATCTAAGTATTTTTTAAATACTTCTAAATAATTCATATGTTGGCTCAGTGCCTGTAGCTCAAGCGGCTGAAGCACCAGCCACATACACCAGAGCTGGCAGGTTCCAAATCCAGCCCGGGCCTGCCAAACAACAATGACAACTACGCCCAAAAAATAGCCGGGTGTTGTGGTCACCTGTAGTCCCAGCTACTTGGGAGGCTGAAGCAAGAGAATCACTTAAGCCCAGGAGTTGGAGATTGCTATGAGCTGTGATGCCACAGCACTCTACCCAGGGCGACAACTTGAGGCTCTGTCTCTAAATAAATAAATAAATAGATCATATGTTAAAAAAGTTAAAGACATTTACTTACAATAGAATGATAAAAAATATATATTATAGATTTACAGACAAGCACCCATGCATATACTCATGGGATGTTTTAGGGTAACAGCTGCTGACCCTGAAGTGCTTGAGCTCTTTCCGCACCTGGGCCGGCGCTGAGAGCTGCTGCCTTTGCACGCTGCACTCAGAGCACAGGTGGTTCTGCTGGGAGGTCAAGAGGGAACCAGGAATCGTGACTTATGAGGAAGACAGAGTCTCACAACTCAGAGCCGTCTCCACAGAACAGGACCCCATACACCCAATAGCAGGTCATTACACCACTGTGACAGAGGATGAGTGCGCCCTTTGGCCAAGTGCCGCAGAGAGAGGCGGACAGGAGGGCAGCCACAGCCTGTTTCTGGAGGGATGGGGGGGCTCAGTGAAGAATATTGCTCTTTTTTTTAATTTCAGATTATGAGGGTACAGATGATGAGGTGACATTGTTTGTGTTTCTCAGGGAAA